AGAAAGACTTCAGCATAGGCATTGCCACTGCTGCTTGAGCCCATGGAAAGCCTGAAGCTCACTGTTCAGAGGAGACGCACTACCTGGAATCTCTTCCCGCTTAACTTGTGGTTAACTCCTGTGAATACTGAAAATAAGGCACAAATTAAGAGCAGTGACTAGAACTGCCAGCTAAAAGGAAGGTTTGTCCACCTCCTGTGAAGCCTGAAGTCCAGGGGCAGCCCACAGGAGGTGTTGTACCTAGCGATTCCCTGCCTCTGTCCCCTGCGCTCTTCCTGTGCACAGCAAAGGTGGGAGAGGGGGCACACGAGAACCGAGCTGGTCTGAGCCCCTGAATGCCCATGGGGGTTTCCTAGTCTCTTAAGGAGGCTGAAAGTTGAAAAGGATGAGGTCCTTGCTGAGGCTCTTGGATCCCACATACAGGGAAGTCTCCATTAGAGGGTGGTGTTGTCCGCAAATGTTCTGCACGTGGCCTGTCACCCAGCTACCAGCACCAGCTAGTTCTTGTCACACTGGAAGAAAGGCTTTTGCCACTGCCTTCCAACTGCCACTCAGAGGAGGAGCAGTTTTGCTGCACTGGAAAGATCCAGCAGCCTGGGAGTCTTCCAGAGACACTCATGAGTATAAGGTGTTGTGGTATCTAAGCAGCGAGGAGGAGGAGGCTGAGAACAGCCTGTCTTTGGTGCCCTATAACATGGTTTAGTAGGTCACAATCACTTACTGTAAACCAGTGAAAGATGAAACACAAAAATCTCTGAGCTAGATGTACTAAAACAACTACAAAAGAGAAATCTGCAATTCACTGAAGTAAACACTTTCCTTCTTTCTCTATCCCCTCTGGGAAAAAGCTGACTGAGCAGAGGAAGGCAAGTCAGGAGATCCAGCCTCTGCTGCCAACTCTGCCCATGATGTGGCTTGGGAACTCATGCTCCCTCTCTGAGCCCTCCTTTTTCCATTCGTTACAGAACAGAAAGTGTTACCCCACCAATATGATATAGGAGATGGCAAAAAATCAGTTGTGCATATCCGTAGGGCACTACATCAATTCAATGCCCTATTGTAAAGAGAGTCATGCTGTCTTTTCACTGTTTAAACTGCAACAGACCCCTCTGATTTTATTACTCGACTGCTCCATGGGCAGATTCCCTGCCAAACAGTACCTGCTCTGCTGCGGAGTTTTGAAATCTGTAGCTAAGTCTTCAACCACACAAAACGTTTCCCAGAATTTTGTGACGTGCTGTAATATCGTGGAACAAGGGCTGAAACTTGGCTTATTCCTGAAGTCATTTGGGGACAGATGACATGGGCAAAAGCAAGATGGAAAACTGGGTTTCAGCAGGTTTTCCACAGTAATACAGGATGGTATCTCTTTTTTCATTAAAAAATTAATTTCCACACCTTAAGGGCCCCCGAGCTCCATGATATAACAGGTCCATGAGCTCAGTGCCAGCTCTGCTTCCTCTGCCAAACTTTCCACTGAATTCATCCCCTTGCCAAAGCAAATCGTTTAGACAGTTGTTTATTTTAAAAAGCCATTTTAGCAAGGAGAGGGAAAGCAGGACGGCAGCGCACATGCTCTCTGTGGTGCTTGCCAACGAAATGCTAAACAGTGGCAGAAGAGCTCTGGAAATGGCAGGAATGGAACTCTATGAGGAGGAAAAACAGCCATGATAAAAATTTCATGCTGTCTGCAATGGCGGGAGGAGCCAGTGCACAAATGAATTATGCCATGTAGCCATACTGTCTTCCCCAGAGAAGTAATCTTGAGTTTGCTGTTATGAAGACTCCAATTCTGTACTGAGGCTGTTGAAATGAATGTCTGTTCTCTTCATGAGACAGATTCAGAGCACTCAACGGAAAGAGTCCGGCCTACTTTGGAGAGGGCTGGACCCAGCTCTCCTTGTGCCTAAATGCTCTTAAAGGATTTGCCTGGAAGTTCAACAGTGACTCTGGCAGCCCCAAAACAGAGACACAGGTGCTATAAACATTTCTGATACACTAGATGCCAACGTGCCCTGAAGCATGTGTAGTTCTAAGTTACTGTACAACAGCTGTGTAATTTATTTACCAAATGGGTGTTTCTGACAGCAGACTATGGTGTCTACTCCATGCCCTTTGTAACACACCTTGTCTTGATTTCCTCAGTCCTTGTCCTGATCCACTCCTTATTTATTCATTATCTTCAGTGGCTGACAGAAAAATACCAGCCCCCTAAAATAAATGACTGAATTGCACATCCAGTAACTGGCACTTAGACTACAGTATTTCTATGTGCTTCATTACAACCTGCCATAAATGATGATTTTCTTAAATGGATTTTGGCTTTCACTGCCTTGCTGTTCTCCAAAACAGTTACTATATGTGCTAAGTTTATTAAATGCACGTGCAGAGTCGGAACTCTTTCTCCACCATGATAAACACCCTTCTTGAGAGGAGCTGTCATGAGACAGACTGGAAACGGACACTTTTCCTTACCTGCTTCACCAGCCTTGCCCAGGCAGTAGCCTCTGTTGTGCCTCTATGGAGAAGCCTAAGTTTGATATTCATCATACAAATGGCAATACCTGATTAAGCAGACTTTGTCCTTTTAGGAAGATCTAAAACATTTCTAAAACAGGTTTGTTGTAAACCAAGAACATAGTAGAATAGTTATGAAGCAGCCTAGCAATCTAAGTTCATACCTGTCAACATTTAAGTATGTTGGAAAACTTCATATAGGGCAAATGTCATCTTTTTCAAGTAGGAAAATAAAATTCATACCATGGGAGATCACTATTCCTCTGCCTGGGTATTTTCATTGCCTCCCCATAGGAAACACAGGGAAAAATTTTTACCAAGAAAATCCAACCACATTCTGTTCTTTCTGATGTAAAACAGTAATTTTTTCATCTGTTCAAACATGTAAAAACTGGTGAAAGATTCCAGGGCAGAATTTCACTTTCTCCTGCCCGCACCTTCCAGTTTATGGGAAACGGCAGAAAACATTATCCCTTGATCTAATCTATATATTCCCTTATAAAGTGGTATTAAAAGTGAGAAAAACACAAAAAGAACAAGAAGCAGCTGTGCTAGAGAGCCTGTTTAAAGAGTCATTCTAAATTTTCAATCAGTTCTTAACCAAGCCATCTGTTTACTGCAGGAAGATAAGTACAGTTACAAGGATTTCTCTGCAAACATGGATGCCTGCATCTGACAAACTAGCTCTTTAAATTTAAAATATCACTTCCTTCCCATGGCCACTAACTGTAAATGGTCCTGTTTAAGCAAAAAGGCCAAAAAAAGTACTGCAAGGGATTGTGAAAAATATCCTCTACAGGGAAGATCAGCACCACACCTTGGTAATGGATTGTTTCCATAACTAGAAGGAATAAAGAAATGACTTTTGCTAATACTAAAGACATTTAAGAAAATAAAATACTTCCCAGGTTGGAGAAGATCATCTGTATTGTTTCAAATCCCAGCTGAGGAAACATGGCTCTGATTAACTCATGGCAATCAATTAGCCACATCTATATTTAGAATGATATCCAACTCCAGCTGTTAAAACTAGGTCTTCATTATTATTAATAAATCTGTGAACCAGACCAATTCTTCCTGGGCTCATTAGGATATTTTTAAAAGTCCTCCCTCTCCCACTACCTTTTTTTTTCAACCTGCCTTGCTTTGAGAAATCAAAAAAGAACAGGATAATCAAATGTCTTGGTCATTCTCTTCCTTTAATTGGCTAGTTACAGCAGGTTTCCATGGTAAGAGAAAAGCTTGTGATTCAACAAGCACAGAGAGCCCATTGAGGTTGGAAGATGTTACAGGCTTTGCAAAACACATCTGGTTTGTTGAAAATTTCCAGCTTGCCTTTCCTTTCTTTTTCTTTTTTCTTTTTGTAGGAAAAAAAGAAGAGGAAAAAGAGGAAGAAGAGAGTGGAAAATTAATGTGAGGCAAACATGAGAAATAGCTCAGCATTAGTAAGGACAGACAGTTCTCTTTTAGGAGTCCAGAAGCAGCTTTTGCCAGTGGAAGAACCAAAGCCATAGGTTGAGCAGAAGTTGGAATGGTATGTGTTCAAACATTGTAAGGGTGTGTGAGGAAAAGGTAGAGAAACATTTCCTAAGTATGTTATATTCATTAAAATAAAACATCTCTTTATGTTGAGTGCTTTATGTTGGCTATGTCTAAAAAAGCGTGCAACAGCTTCGAGACATATTGATCTGTCTGTAGGGAGATTCTCTGGTTATTCTTAAAGCAAAAGAATGGCATTTTTCCTGCAAGTACCTCATCAAGAAAAGTTGCGTTGCCATGCTGGACATGTAACACTTGTTGGGTTTTAACTCCTGACTGACCTTGTAAAGAATCTGCACTAGGCTTTTGCCCTAACGTGCCAAAAGAAAGGACCATCACCATCTATAATACCAAACCAAAAGTGGGCACTCTAAGCGATGGACAGAGTGAAATCACTTCCAGGAATGTGTACCTAACTATCATGGGAAGTTAAAAAATTTACCCTGTCATGAAACAGGAGCCCTGAAACCATAGAAAATCGAGGTTTTTCTCAGTAAACTTAGTGGAAGCATGGAATGTAAAATATTGGTTTTGTGATTATAAATCCAGTATAGTGTGAACGTTATTATGCTGAAAACAGTCTGAATCTTCTCAAGCAATGTGACAACAATGAAAAAAATTAAGACACATTAATCTCCACAAGATTTCCTTACATTAACGAGTGTTAGACTGTCCAGCTTTGCCTTCCAAGTGCTGTAATAACTACTGCCCCATCGGCATTTGCCAGGGCAGTCAGCTCTAGCTGACAGCTCCTGGTGTTGGCAGCTGCAACTCAGGATTACCGACATTATCTCTATAGCAAGGAAATGCTTTTGAATTACAGAGTGACTGGATGAGTGAGGAAACTTAGTGTTCAGATCCTCAGCCTGTACTTCACCTATGCTTCAAAATCTAAGGCCTACCAATCCAGCAGCACAGGTTTCATTAACAATGCAATGGGTCCCTTAAAGCTACAAGTTCTGACACCAGCAGTGGAAACAATTCAATCCAAGAGAAATAACACGTTTGTTTCATAAAGCCAAACACTTTCAACGTGCCAGCCAACAAGGGCAGAATTACCATTGCATATAGTTTACTTTAGAACTTGCTCTTCTCTAAACATTTTCATATGCTTATGATCTTTCTATATAAATTCTTCCTCCCTCAGCTGAGAGACAGAGGGATTAGTGCCAGCCTCCCAGTCATCAGCAAAGAACAAGTACCTCCTTAGTTGTACAAACCTGGCAGCGGAGATGCAGACAGTGAAAGGACACAGTTATCACAGCAGCACAAGGTACTGGCTGTACAAGAAGGATCAAAGAATGCTGGACAAACCACGCATGTTTGGGATTTTTATCCTCGCAATGATATACAAGCAGTAACAGAGAAGTCTAAGTGGAAAAAAGCAGGTATTCAGGGTTACTAAATGACCCAGAAGGGCATTTTTAAAGGGAAGAAATGAAGCACAAACGTCCTCATCTGAAGGAGCAGAGTAGGATGAAGTCAGAAGCAGAAGGTAAAAGATGAGGTCACTATCACTAACAGACCTCTTTTTGAGAAGCTGCTCAAAAGGCAGTCCCTTCAACACCACGGCACAGTGTGGTACTCTGGTACAAACATTGCCTTTGCAATTCTATGCCACATATGGGTTACAGTAAAGAAGATTAGCAAGAAGTGGGCAAGAGCATTGAACCTTCTTTTAATCCTAAAACATATTCTAAACAGCTATAGAATAGATTAGAAAAAGTAAGAATTTTCAGCATAAACCACTTTCCGTGTCTGTTACAGATTTCACTACAGTCTCAGCATCTGAAATTCCTGTTTCCATTTTTGATTCAGGCTTTTGACTGAGCCTGTGAAACCCCAAGCACTTCAAAAGGTATTCTTACCTTGTCTCTAGCCTCACTGAGAAGGTCTTCCAACTCTGAGAAGCTGAAACTAGCCACAGTGATAAAATCACTCATGACGGGAACGAACCTGTCCCCTGATTCCCGCATGCGTCTCTTCTGATAATCCAGTTCCTGAAAGAAAAGAAGGGATATAGACAGGCAAGCATCAAAGATTCCTTGCTGACATGGGAGGGAGCAGGGAAGCCCATCTGTTTCGCTCAGTGCAGAGCATGCTTTGCTCCCACGCTGCACACATTCACACAGAACTGTAATTCAGAAAATAAGTCAAAGGTTTTGTCTTTTCAGCATGAGAGAGAAGGTTAACATGGGATGAAGGAAAGTCTGAGTTATGGTTCTCTTTATCCTCAAACAGCCACTCCCAACAAAGCCATTAACATATTGGATTTCTAAAGCAACTTTATAATTTAAGCATCAAGTACATGAAACGCTGCATTTTTTTCCTGTGTAAAATGACAAATAATAGAGTACTCAGATTGTGTAGCAAGTGAATTTGGAATTTTAAATAGGGAGTTTCCCTCCATCTTGTCTTCCTATGATGACTCCAAAAGGTTGTATACTTGGAGAACTGTGTACATATGTGAATAATCTATATAGTTCCTAGCTCTGGATCTCCCTTCAGTTCTCTGAAAAGCACTGTGTGGGCAGCATAGACATCAAAATTGGTTCTCCTACTGAAGAACAAGCAGACAGATGTCAGGTGCAACATCTGCTAGCACCCTACTAACCAATAAGCATTAGCTCAGATGTCATAAAAGTGACAGACTGGGGCTTTTGCAATATGATCATCGTGGGGGGGAAAGACATAAAACCATAGGAAACAAAGCTCTGTTTGTCTGCTACCTACAGAAAGAAAAAAAAAATAAATTGTAAGATTCTTTCTTTCCAGCTCATTTTTTTTTTTTTAGTTTTAAGCCAAGATTACCCATGCTATCTCTTCCTCTACTCTACCCACATACATGTGGCATGTAAAGAGCTACAGAGCTCCTCAAAATGGATGTTATAGTGAGACTGGCAGTCTCCCATGCCTGTGCTTGGCTTGTGTGCTGTTGACAGTCTCATGGGGACAATAAAATTGTAATCTAGGCCTCATCTTTATTCTCAGCTGAATAATCAGTAGGAATGATAAAGCTTTACTTTCTCTGTAGGAAACAGCATGAGACAGCAGGTCAAGTTACAATCTGACCCTCTGTTCCCTTTGGAAAAAAATATTTTTGTGCTGGCTGCAACTCCAGCTACGTGAATGTTTGGTGCTTTCTGTTACTGGTCATCAAAATACCAGCTCACAGAGCCAAATGTGTAGGTTTATAAGCATCTATGCTCAGAAGCTCCTTGGGTTTTGCACCACAGTGCTGCCGAACGCAAAGAATTACTTCGGCCATCAGCAATATAAAATCAGATGTGATACATCTTCTGGGTCTGATGTGAGTTGGAAGGAGAAAGAAACCACTACAAGGAAAGACCATAAGGCAGAAAAGGGGCAGGAAAAGCAATGAGCAGGTGGCCAGAGAAAATTAAAGAAGTGCTACTTCCCTTGCTTTATATTACAACGTCTTCTCCACTGGTTTTCCCACACATCACAAGCAACGGTCCCAGGAGCACTACTCAGTTACATCACTTTGCCGTGAATTGTCTCTATGTTACAATCACTTTGAATCGAGACTTAGAAGTATAGGAAATGTCACTTCACATATTTCGAAGAATTACACATATTTTTTTCAGCCACTCTTACCCATTCTAATTTTTCAGCTAATTTTAGCTGAAAGTTGCTCTATCTCCTCCTTCCTCTGCTCCCCAAGCAGGTGAGTATAACAGTTCTGCATTCTTACTCACTGTTGAAAGCTATGGCATTTGGGACTGTTACTGGAGAGCAATGTTTTTCAAACCAAAATTAAGATTAGGCAGTCTGTCCCTCAATTTTAAACTCGGTCCTTCCCTGCAGAATAATTCTTCCAAAATAAAAAAACCACAAACACACAAGTAACTAGCATGACTATGTAATCAGCCAGAGAGAAATGCCAGAGAATAAGAAACTCCTCTGTATCATCTAGAAATGGTCTATGCTAGTCATAACAGCACAACAGGAGAATCCCTGGTGGGCTGGGCTGCTTGTTCTCTAGACAGATGAAATGATTTCTCAAGAGGTTTCACAAGTGGTGGTTCTGATCTCATTGCTGTGTAAGAGAGAGCTCTGCTGACAGAATTCACTTCCTGATTTGAAGAAGACCAAGAACTACGCAGCTGTCCCTTTGGAGGCATCCTACATAAAGGCAGCAGCTGCATGTATGTCTTGAAAACTAATGTATCGTAGTTTTACAAAAAAGCTGCAAGTCCAGGAAGACAAAGGGTTAGTAGTACCTTTAAGAACATCTGACTGTGAAACTATTTTTAGCTTTCTATTCTTAAGAGGCCTTGAAGAAACTTCTCAGTAACTGGAGCCAAGGCTGTGGTGAGAACACACTGGAATGGAATCAAGAATCACACTTTCCCCTCCTCCCCCTTCCACCTGACAGCGATCTTCTGTTGTTGCTATAGTGCGGCTTTTTACACTCCAGAACACCACAAACTGAGCAAGCAGGCTGGGAGGTTCTGGAAGCCCCAGATGAAAAACGGCAGGGAGAAGACTGAGGAGGGAAGATGATGACTGAAGGGGAAAAGAGGGGTTGCCCATGGAACCCATGCGTGGGAAAGAGAAGAAAAATTGCCTGTAAAGGCAAAAACAACAAATAATCTGATCACAGAAAGCAAACCAGAAGTAGGTACTCCCATTTCAATGGGAGAAATTGTGTGTCCCAGCCAAAACTGGGCCTCTCTTCATGTCATAAACTCCATGTCAGCCTTCCCTTTACAGGTGCTTTTAATTCCCAATCACTACACTCCATGCATGCAGCAGTATCTCTTCTCATTGCTGCATTCTCCCTTACCCCAACAATCCAGAAATAAGTCTTGGAAACTTTGGTTTTTGACAGGAGGACCACTAGCTAAGTGCATGATAAACTACTGGAGGTAGCCAGACAGCCTGCGGGCCACCGACAGAACAAAGATCTCTTCCTCTACCCAGAGAGCCAAACCAGACTCAAGCCAGGTGAAAGGAAAACAAAGTTATCACTGGCTGTCTCACAGTGGATGAGGACGGGAAGGTCCTGTCTTAATTCTTTGCAGATAGGTAATCTTTGCACAAAATCCACCCAATGCAATTTCTAACAACTGGTCCCTGCACGAGCAGTCCCAGTGCAGAATGCTCCCCATCTAGAATGCTCCACTAGCATTAAACTGGCATGAATTGAAGCCGACAGGTGAAACATCCTGAAGACTGAGACTGAAAAGTGTGGCTAATAAAACCCTCTTTGAAAAAGCAAAGACTAGCTAAACACAGCAGGGACCCTCTTGAGTTTTGAAGACCTCTGCCTTGTCTCTAAGCACTACCCTTGCCTTAGTATATCCAACAGACAAGAGACGGCAGCACCACCCTGAACATAACATTTTGTTCCTATACTTTCAGGAAGAGAGAATGGTGTTCCTAGTGTCAGAACATGTTTCTCTGTGCAGATGATGGCAGACATTAAGGGACAGAGACAACAGAGTGACTTTAACCTTTAATCTTTACTTGTTCAACTGCTGTGCAAACACTAACTTGCTGTTCTTCGCACCAACCCTTGTGAGAGGCAGCTATTTATAACTGCCATTTCACAGAGAGGACAAACGCATGGAGTTGTTCAAAGTCACACACACATGTCAATGGCATAAGCATAAGCAAGAGGCAAATATGAGAGTTCCTACCTTCTCCTGCCAAACATGGTATCCCACTCTGTGGTCTCCTGCCTCAGGAAGGCTGGAGTCTTTCCACAGGAACAAACCCAACCTGCTAACTAAAGGAGGCTTCCAGGTAGGGGAACTGCAGCTGACACACAAACCTGTGACTCCAGGAAGTATTTAGGCCCATCCTTCATCTTTAACTCTTATGATTTGGTGCACACAACTGCATCAATGCACCATCTGTACTGTTCTCTGTGGGAAAGGAAGGTTCTGTACTACCTAAGTACAAACTGAACACAGACAACCTAATAGCAGGAAGAAAACACCATTGTTGCTTTGCTTGCCTGCCCAGCTCCCTCATCTTAAACCAGTCTATCTTTTCCTTTGCATTCCTAAGCAGTGCTTAGGATAAGTTAGGGTTGCATGTAACAGTGCACTACCTGTTTACCAGTACTCCAAGAGCCACGTGTAACACTTGCTCAGCAGCCAGCCATCCCTCAAGAATTTTATTTCTTCTTTCAGTCTACGCCATTTGTCAAACTGTCCTTTTACTTTCCAGGCTGAGATCAAACAAGCTTTTCATTAGGCTTAAGTCTGCTAAGATCATCAGCAGGAGCTCCACATGAGAAGCTTTTATTTGTTTTTTCTTGGTTAATGCGTTCTGGAATGGAATGGAAAGGAATGGGAAAAAAAAAAGCTCACTTTCTCTTATCATAAAATATATAGTGCCCCTGATTCTGAGAGAGATATTTTAAGTATGGAGCTTTGGAAATCTTTAGATACTTACAGCTTCAACAGCTTTCAATCCAGTCTTTATGTTGTTGACTTCCTTCTCCAGCTCTACCAGGCTGCACAGGAGACAGACACAGAGCAGATAAAACAAAAAGAGCAGTGTTACACAGGAATACAGGAACTGTGCAGCAGATCAGACCATTGGCCCGTCAAGTCTGGTGTTCGGTCTCTGGAACCAACCACACCAGATAATTAGAAATTAGGGGAAGAGGGTCTGTTATTGCTCTGTGATGTTTTTCGTATGAGATGTAAGATAAAGGAGACCCGTGGTCACAAGGAAGATCAGGATTTTCCTGGGAAGGAGAGGTTGCCCCCTGAGCTGAGCCTGACTGTCCAGCAAGGACCATGTGCCACATGGCCAGCCTGCAGTACTCAGCTGATATGTGAGTTTTAGCACACACATTACTGGAGTCTCAGATTATCTCTACTTACAATTCTTAAACCACTTCAATACTACATCTCATTAACAGTATATTCACATGTGATTTTTGTCACCATCCTTGCAAGTTTACATTGTAATCGAGCACATAATCTTACTGCTAATGTTAATAATTGCTTCCCTAGACTCAAGTGTTGTACTGAATTTCTGCTCATCTTATACAAATGAGAGGTTTTTCCTTGGACTTGTATGAAAAAAAAAAGATTTTTTATTTACAGGTAACTAGTTAGTACCTATTTGCGAGGCAGCAGGCACCTCCTCCAAGTATTTGATGAGTAGTAGCTTATATCTCAAAAAACACCAATAAGCCTTGATAAATGCCTTTAAGTGTGAACCTACATTTATATTTTACTTATCTTTCCTTAGCTGGAGTAATTCC